TGAGATAATGAAATTTAAGCTTATTGAGCCATGAGCTTTTTCTTTGCATTTCTTGTGTTTTAGAATTGCATGCTAGAATCATTCAAGTAGCCTTGATCAAGCAAACTTGTGGAGTGATTCGAATCTTGAGTTTTGAAACAAGTTTTCTCTACTCTTGATATTGATCATCAAGGTAAATCCGTTCTAACTTCTTCCTTGGGTTGACATCATCTCGATTTGGGGGGTTTTAGCATTTGTGATGTAGGGGTTTGCATAACCATAATGGTTCTTAGATCCAATTCGCTATTGTTTTCTTATCACTTGCCCATGTTGATAAAACCACTACTAGGATTAAGGCCAGGCTAACCCAAACCAGTTAGACATGTTTAGGCAAACATGTTTCGGTCCTATTTTGGACATGGACGTTGTTTTCAACGGTCCATTGATCCATCACCTATTGTTGAGAGAGGTTGAAGAGCCTAGGCAGGACGTCATTAGCTTTGACCTGTTTGGGAAGAGGGTATCTTTTGGTAGGCGAGAGTTCGACCTAATCACCGGGCTCAGTCATAGGATGAAGAAGGTAGATAATCATATTCCCGGACGAAGACTTAGAGCACGTTACTTTAAAGACAGTGTTAGGGTTAATTGTAGGGAGCTGGAAAAGATTTTTTTGGAGGACGTTTTTGACGACGACGGGGATGTTGTGAAGGTTAGCATAGTTTACTTCATAGAACTTGCCATGATGAGGAAGGAGAGGAAGCATCTCATTGATACAGCCCTGTTAGGTGTTGTGGATTGGTGGGAGGCGTTTTGCAACTATGACTGGAGTTCGATGGTTTTGGATAGGACGATTTTGAGTCTCAAGGATGCTCTGAAGGATAAACTACCGGCCTATCAACAGAAGGCAAGAGCCGACCCCACACACATTGAGACTTATAGTCTGTACGGGTTTCCGTATGCATTTCAGGTTAGCAAGGTTTAAGTCAACTGTATAATTTAATACATTATTTAACTGCATCATTTATTTGCCTTCACTGGATTCCAGGTATGGGCGTATGAGACGATCTTGACGTTGAGTATGCGAGTAGCAACGAGGTTGAGCGATGACGCCATTCCTCGACTTCTCAGGTGGTCGTGAAATATTCGCGCGGGATTCGTGTGCTGGCGAGTGAGGTTTTCGATAACACGCGGGTAAGTAATTCTCTTGTGGCCGTATGGTTCATATTTGTTTTTTCATTTCGATCTAATCATAGGTTTTTGCAGTCCAAGGTTAAGGAACACTTAGTGGCGACGGATGCTGCGGAACAACACATGGTCTGTGTCATTCTTCCGCCAGAAGCCCGTGTTATACCTGATCCGCCTGCTGTACCTGATCGGGCTGCTGTACCTGATCGGGCTGCTGTATCTAATCCGCCTACTGATGTGGAAAGGGGTCCTCTAGAGGATCCGGTAGTAGAGGCCCATGCGTTAGACGAGGTTGGACCCAGTGCAAATGATGGTGAAGCGCTAGAGAAGAGGTCGAAGAGGAATAAATTCAAGAATAGGATCAGCAGACGGTTGAAGAGGCTCGATGACCGTGTTGGTGCTATCGAGGACACACTAGGTGACTTTGGAGTTGCCCTGAAAGGTATTCAGAGGTACCTGAAGAAACTGACGAAGGTACTCATGTTATATGTATACAAATTTGTTGTTATTTATTACAATAATGCTCATGGGCCGGTGTTTGGGTGCAGGGTAAATTCCCTGATCCGAGCAAGTATTTCGGAGGTGGGGGTAGGCCCGATGATGATGGTCCATAGGATCAAAGGTCTGATGAGTCCTTGAAGCCAGATGGAGGTCGGAAGAGTATGGACGAGGACGTGAGGCCTGATGAGGACCCGGAGACTGACGAGGAATCGACATCGGGGCATGGTCCGAATAATATGGACGAGGATCCGAAGAAAAAGGACGATGATCCAATGATTACGGAGGAGGACGATGGTACGATAACAGATGAGGACGAGGATCCAAATCAGGTAACTCCTACTTATTTTCCTGTTTGGATTATTTATGACCTTGTCTTACATCATGTTATTTAATATTATGACACTACGATCGGGGGACGGCCTGACGGCTCGGTAGTGGATCATGTAGATGACCATGGACCTCAGGTGGGTGTACTTCAAGTAACCACCTTCTCTAACACTAGTATCATTCCTGCTACCATATTGTAATGTGATTAATATTTTTTGTGTATTAAGATCTCATCGTTGGCAGACAAGAGCCGGATGTTCAACCAGATACGCAACCCACGAGGAGACGAGTTAGGTGTCCCTATAAGGACTGGGCACCAGACGCTATCGTTAAGGTAAACTTAATGTCATACATTTTGTCAATTGTCATTACTCGACCATACGTGTTTATTGTGGTTTAGGTTGAACCTTACCTTGACCAGGGCCAATCTGACCTTCAGCATGCCCCAACTGGTAGGGGGCTACGCAAGCGCCATTATTCGTGGAAACTGAAGGATATATACACACCAACCGGCCAACGTAGGATCACCGTGGATGCATACGATCCAGCATGTCTCATTCCTCCACAGCTAGATGGTCAGTTCCAGACATGGATGGATGACCCGAACATCGATGGGCGAACTCGGTTTACTGTAGCTGGCTTACAAGGGAAGGAATGGTATCCCGATCCACTGAACCCTACTGTCCAATTGAAGGACGAAGTAAGTACATCTTATTCCAGTAACTAGTACTGCATTTGTCAATAATATGATTATATCAACTTGCATTTCTTAAATGTAATAGGTAGTTGATGCTCTCGTCCTGTTTACGGCAAAAAAGTTGGAGAAGTGTCTCCATCTGTGTCGCAAAAAGTTTGCGATAGGCGACGTGCTGCTTTCGGTACATACTTTTTCCTGCTCTTCGTTCGAACTAAAAAATACTATTTTAATTATCTGTGTAACTAATATCACTTTTCACTTCTTGTACAGACTCTGCTGAACCGAACAGACGGTCCGTATGCGGCCATGAAACTAGGTGTCCTGTCCACGAGAATCGAATACCCCTGAAGCCAGGAGAATACCATATTCTGATGTGTCTTCGGTAAGCAGTCGAACCAGAACGTGCCTTGGAGTGATGCAGACATTGTGTACACCCCGATCAACTTAGGTGGGAACCACTGGGTGATGCTCGGAATTGATCTTGTGGAAGGCGACTTAACCGTATGTGATTCACTCGAATCGGCCACTCCACTGGATTCACTCGAGAAGGAGCTGAAGCTCATTTGTACGATCCTACCTGCAGTGCTGCATCATGGCGGGATATTTGTAGTACGACTGGACCTGCCAGTGGTACCATGGAGGGTGCATCGGGTTCGTACACCTCAACAAGGTAGCGCGACTGATTGTAGGATTTTTGTATACGCTTTTTCGAGTACGATGTTATCGGGTCAAAACTCCACTTTGACCCAAGATAATATTGTATTTTTTAGGCACCAGTACGTTGTACAGATGTGGGCGCGCCGTCCCATTTTTTGAATATTTATAGAATTCCGGTATTATCTTTTCTATTTCGTACTTCATTCTCGAAGCATGATACATGAAACACACAATAATAATAGAATCCAATCTCCACAATAATAATAATAGTAGTAGAACACATAGGGTTGCAAATGCATGCATGCGTGGTTGGTTTCTTGAGATACAAGTTACATTACAAATTTCTTTAAAATCCACTTCATACATGTTTAAATGTAAATGAACAACAGAAGCATACATTCACAATGTGGTAAGGGGTTCACTACATGTTTTGCGATTATGCCCCCATGCACCATAGCGATCGCACTTACGTGTTTGACGTACCTCGCCCGTGGAAGGAATCCTAGCCGTCTTCTGCCTCCTAACTCTTGGAACAGTCTTCGGTGGTTCCACCGATATGTTGACAAACTCTGGCGAACTGTTCCATGTTGAGACGTGTCCGACTGGAAATATAGGTTCTGCATAAGCCAATATCCAGGAGTTCATCGTATATGCCTCGTCACACGGACTGTATGGATTTATATTTCGCATTATCGCCCCTACAATAGCATGAGAGCATGGAATCTTAAAGTAATCAAACTCTCGACTACTACACGTCATAGCGTTCAAATCAACAATCCCGTCAAGGTTGCTATCCCGTACCTGGAAATGGAACTAGTCAATGTTGTCTACAACATGTCTCCGTGCACTGTCTGAATATTCGGCATACATATTTTTTGCGTAGTCGAACAATGTGGTTGATCGGGAAGCTACAATCGTCCGTCGATCGTAGAACCAAGTCTGTAATTTACCTCTAATGTGGTCAAGTAAGGCGGTAACCGACAACTTAGGGGCGTGCCTGAAGAGGGAATTTACGGACTCCGCGATATTTGTAGTCATCTGTATATACCTCAATTGAGTTTGGAAACAACGAGCCCAACGCTCCTTCCCAATATCGTCTAGATATTCCCGTACACCGAGGTATGCACGAAGTTGGGCCAAGATCGAGTTGAAATATGACTCGCGATACACCTTTGCAGCCTTTAAAAATAGTTCCTCGACTGCCTTCGCATCGTCTTTAAATTTTGCTACCAAGTTAACCTTGATATGCTGTATACAAAAGCAATGAAATGCAGCAGGAAATACGTTGTCAATTGTCTTGCAAATGGTTTGATGTCTATCAGAAACTAAAACCAAATTATCCACTCCGACAAGCGCACGTTTTATTTGAGTCATAAACCACACCCATGATGCTACCGTCTCATCGTCGACAATCACGAATGCTATCGGGTAAATCTGGTTATTCGCATCCACACCAGAAACGATAACAATACGCCTCTGAACTTCCCCTTTAGGTGGGCCCCGTCAATAACCAACAATGGTCTAATGCAACCCAGAAAACCTCGAATCGATTGACCCAATGTCATAAAGACATATTTGAAATATTTGCCACCTTCTAGTTCTAATTCGAAAACAGTACCTGGGTTCATGATTTTCAAAGCTTCACCATAAGCTGGAAGTATACCGTATGACGATGATGGATCCCCTCTAATAAGCCGGAGTGCTTCTTCATTAGAACGCCATGCTCTATCATAACTTAAAATGACATCATACTTCTTCCTTATGTCTTATATAATGTCCTTTGGTCTATACATGCGGGAGACGTCTGTGAACTTCTCCTGCACAAGATGTCCGACCACCCAACTTTTGGCTTGCCTATGATCCTGTTTTAAAGCCCCACCATAGCACGTATGTGCATCACAATATTTTTTTATCTTGAACAAAGTGCATTCCTTTAGCTTGGTAGCTCGAAGTCTCCATGTGCAATCAGTATGAACGCACTGCAGTATATATAGCTCCGGCGTCGACTTTTTTACTTTAAACTGAAATTCATCCGCATTGCAACTAAATGCATTTTCAAACTCAACTCCTTCTTAGTATCAAAGACATCGCCCTCATTAACATCATTTGTCCCAGAAGACTGTACTATGAGTTGCAATTTCTCATCATTAGGGTGTCCGATGAGACCATTACATCCCGGTGGCCGGACCGCTTCTTCATCCCTGCGAATCTCAGTGTGCACCTGTTCCACATCAGGCTCAAGCTCTTCATCAAGCGCATCATCATGCTCTTCGTTCCCACATTCTGCTTCAGAGTGTCCTTCAAACTCTGCCAACGGGTCATATGATTCATTACTTTCATCTTCGTTATCATTCCACACTCCCGACACATCCCAATCACACACCCTGTCATCTCCCAGATTACATGGAACAACATCTGATCCCAATGGTGTTAAACCCTCTACATCATGACCTATATGCCCGTAGGAGGGGTGTGGCTGTCGGGAAGAAGAGGGGTTCGATG